ATAGGTCCCACAACAAATACAATAGACTCAAGAAAGAAAAAAGATTACAAACTGACACAGACCTAGTCTACCCAATCTTGAGATGGTTCTAGATTGCAATCTGATCGTGTGGACCTGAAACGTTAGCACATAAGACAATCGTAGAGAAATAAGGAATATTTGCTATCATCAAAATTATAAACCATAGATCCGCAACACAATCATCGTCCTTGAAAAAATTATATTCAACATGAGTAAGATTAATAAGCGAACACATGATCGAAAAATTCATCGAGATATTCAATTTTAAGTTCACATCAGACCTTCTATCTTTAAAACAAATTTATCATAAAAAAGTAAGTTTTTAGTCTCAACATTTGTATAACAATTCACGAGATTAGTTAAAAAACTTAATCATCGATTAATGGGTAAATAGAATTGACAATATTCAATCAATAAAATTAAAATTATTTCAATTTTTGATGATGGCCATGTTCAAAGAAGATGGCAACTGGAGAGGTTAATTCTCAAAATAAAATTCTCATGCAGCAAAACACTAATATTTTTAAAGTGATTTTAATGTCGTGTTGAGAGTAAATCTCAACTAGAGGGGTCAATTCTTAAAATCTATCAAAATTTAAAATTCAACGCCTATCAATATTCAAATAATTAAAGTGAAATTATTGATCTAAAACTTAAAAGCAAAATCTATTCACCCTTCCCAACCGTTTGGAAAGGGAAATGAACTTAAAAATAACTTCAGCTCATAAAGAGAGTTCACCCTAGAATATCACAATGATTCATTACTAAAAAATCTTATGTTAGTAATGATGTGACACGTGTCCTCTAATCAATATTTTGGCCTTAAAATGGGTCATAGGACTAGAGATTTGACTCAAATAGCTCAACACATAAACAGTTATGATTGAGGCCCTCTGATCAGGTAATTTTGCCGCAAATAGGAACAACTATATTACAATCACGGCCAGAGCCTATTTGTTCCCCAATAACTAATGCCTTTGACTAATGACTCATAGGGTATACTTGATAGAGTATAAAGCTCTTTGTTAGCTAAAAATGATTTGAATTTATCTTTTAGACAACAGTCACCCCAAGTCTACATGGTATTTTTGGATGAAGCAACCCATCACTAATGATAAAGATCCTTCGATCATGTTTGATCAACTACATCATCAGACTAAGTAGAATAGGAACTAGGATAACCTGAGACGATGAAATCATGGGATCTTGATCGGACTTGTCATCATTCTACCCACCATTCGCTTGAAGTGTAAGATGCTAAATTTTAAATCCTAAACATCTAAAACTGTTACTACTATACGCTAGGTACTAAGTATATATCCAATGACTAGCCTTCATGAAAGTGTTTTCTCATTACCAGAAAGGATAATTAATTATAGGGGCCTATGCCTATGGGAAACCTGAACTCATATAATAAAGTTTTTACAAAATGAGGGCAAAATTTTTTAGTAGTGTCTTATCTCTAACACAATCTACCTTATGAAAATTTGACCTAGAGCATGATCCATTAAAACTCTCCTCGAACACACGGAGAGGTCAAGGCATGAAATTTACAGAGCCCATAGAAATTAATCTAATATATATTTGCAAATGGTGTGAATAGGGCCTTGCGAGAATAAAGACGCTTCAAGAAGCCCAATTTTCCTTTCTCCTACAAAAATATGGCTCTATTTTCCCATTCGTCATGTCGATTACCCTACATTGCAGAGCTCTTTATGATCAAAATATATCATTAATTTAAAAATAGCCCCTTCTCGTACTTTCCTCAATTCCATTTAAGTTTCCCTAAAAAATGAGTCCAAAATTAAATAAATAAAACCTATTGGATTAAGCAATTCAACATAACTAAACTGAAAAGATAGAATCAGACAACTCAAATGTTGCAAATGAATTGCAAACCTCTGCAGGAGATTTATGAAAAGGTGAGAACCACCAATCAAGCTAACTTGCTCTGAGAACGATGCCAATACTTGCTTCTGAGAAAGAGTGCGGATAACCATGTGCAGCACATCTTCAATGCACGCCATGTCTTGGCTTCTCTCAAAAAATGCAATGAGGGCATTTATATCAGATGCAGAGATTGTTTGCCTGAAACCAAATAAAGGTGGTTATAACTGTGAAATTCGATAAGATAGAAAAAAAAAAAAAGTTCAGCACAGTTCCGTAGATTCTACTTCACCTCAAGCTCATTTCAGCAAGACTCAGTAGAAGAAGACGAATTTTACGAACTTCTTCTTGGACTGGTCTTTCACCAATCACTTGTTTTGTAATCGAATGTAGCAGAGGCTTGAATCCAGTAGCAGACCGACTATCAGGTTTGTCCCAGTAAAACTGACGGATTATATCAATAATGCGTGGGAAACCACAAAGTATTGGTAATAAGGTTACTTCCTTTTCAAAATATTGAATGAGAAACATATAAAGGTCCCTTTGCACTTCATAACTTGCATAAACCCAGATATGTGGATTCAAATAAATTCGTGAAATGGCTTCTTTCAAGAGCAGTTCAGATATGCCTGCACAACATCAAAAAAAAAAAAAGCCTGTCTATTAGACCATTAAAAGAATTATATAATAGGTAAATGCACACCCACTGCAAAGAGCGGCTGGTTACCAGAAGTGCATAGAACATTAAACAAATTCTTCAAAGCTGAAAGAGTCTCCATATTTAATTGTTCAGGTGGAACTGACTGGAATAAGAAGCCAAGGATAGACAGCCCGGAGAAACGATGCATTTGCTGTTGATTGGAAAGGTTCTCATCCAAAACAGATGCAATAAGATTAATAATCTTAGCTGCAAGTTTATCTCTTGTTATTGTTCTTATTAGTATGTACTCATGCTGTACATTACCAGATTCAGACAGATCAAATTGAGTTAAAAGATGAAAAAATACAGCAGCACCACCAACGCAATAGATTATTTCTTGGAGCAAGTGCCGAGAGCATAATTGTGTCCCATCCATAATTCTTGCTGCATACGAGCTCTTATCTAATGAACTATCAATCAGGGAGGACACGTTAAACAAGCTGCTACCATTGCTGGCCTACAAAAGAAAGGCAATTAAGTTAAAATCACAGATATTGTACTATCGGATAAGAGTCTTAAGAGGTCATGCAATCCAGAAAGAATGCGTGAGAAATTAAACCAAACCTGTGCATTGAAACCAAAAATGATCTTGGATGATAACCCATCCTTTGCATCTAAAATTCCATCATACAGTGAACTATCTGAAGCCAGCAGAATCTCATCACCAAGAAATGAATACATGTAACTTGGTCCGAGGGAGTATACAGCCTTTATCTGCTCAGAAGTAAGGGTATCCGAAAACATATAAACTGGACCCATTTGACCAATAAAAGCACATGCCTTCTCAAAATTAATTTGCCCAGTCCCTTCAATTGCAGGAATATATTCTGTCCCAATTGTACACCATGTCAAGGCATCACCAGCTTTTGCATAACTAAAAAAATTGAAATAATCAATTAGAGCATTGCTTAAGTAGGAAATGAGTTAATTAACACCAGAACCAAAAGTTAAAGGGCGTGAATAGCTATGAACTAAACACAAAGGAGGGAAAAAAAAAAAGAAACAGTGACTCGACATTGACAAACGTATAACAATAATTATCAACCGACCTACACTTTTCAGAGGATACCAGATCTCCATCCACAAAGCATCTCACTGGGCTGCCTCCAGAGAATGCCCTTCCTATACTATGAGTGATGCAAAGGAAATACCATTTCCTAGGATGAAGATCTAGAGACAATGAAATACAGTTCCTTTTTTGGTTGATGGACTGCAAAAGAATAGGTGAATTATTATATAGACTAAGAAAAGAAGAAGAAGAAAAAGTGCTACAAACTGAAAAAATAACACAAGATCATAGATCACATTTATCCACAACTACGGACAAAAAATCGCTTTTGCACACACATGGCTATGCATTTTGTGCGGAATGGAGTGGGGAATGTAACACATACAAGCATTTATGTAAATGCGTCCCCCTTCTCCATCATAGAGAAATAGATTGAATGCAATGACCTAATAATCTTTTATAGCAGTTGGGACTGTTTTATGCCAGCCAAAATGACTTCCTAAAAGCAAATCCACAGGACAAAAAGAAATTTTTCTTTTCACAACACACAAATTTTAAAGTAGATCCAAGGGGTATGAATATATTGCATGACACAATGCGTTTCTTTCATAGATGCAAATTAATTATAGGAAGCTTTAGTTATATTTTTTTGTAGATGGTGCCCTCCTCAATCTTGACAAACATAGTGATGTTTTTGAGTTATTTTTAATTTGGTTTCTTTTTTATTTTTAGATTTGTTATTTTTTATCTTCATGGGAATCCCTTGTTATTTAGTTGGTCATTCATTTAGGGGGAGCTAAGGAGAAAAATTATTTTAAATGTTAACTCAAACAATAATTGTTTTGCCCTCCACAATCTTGACAAACATAGTGATGTTTTCATCAAGATATTTGGCTTGGTTAATGATGAGAAGGCATTTCCTAGATACCCATGGGTAAAGTGATGCAGGACTACAATGCTTAGATGATATTTGATGTAGGATTTTTGCACGCTTAAATTTTAGAGAACAATAGTAAATAAACTTATATTGATTTTAAACGATAAGACACAACAATAAGGCAATAAAACAAGCTTAGGCCAAATCACAAGCGTAGAGGTACATATCCTAAAATAGTCAATTACTCAAAACGTTGCATACATCAAAGGTTTTCATCAACAATCCATATGCTAACAAAAAGACTAGTCACTATGCAAGGATCCCTCACTCAACTCTCTAGATCACTAAGCTTTAGCGGAGGAGAACAAGCATGATCTTTGTGAATCAAAATATAACCACAATTGAAAATAAACTAGGTAGATAGGAAACTTGAGGAAGAGTTCACCATCATCAAGTTCTTAAGTCTGATTTGCGATGTGAGGAAGAAGTTCCGGAGGTTGGTGGCCGATCTTGAAGTAGTCTAGAGAGTGGACACTGGACAGCCGCGTGGGAATTTTTGGGCAGCGAATAGGAGTCTTCTGGTTGGCAAAACGGCACTAGAAACCTGCTGGAATCTCTGGACAGTAGCTGTGAACTTTCAGGACAACAAACAGGAGGTGTCTGGAGAGCAGGACAGCAGCTTGTCTTGCCGACATTTCCTGGACAGCAGCTGTGAACATGCAGGACAACAAACAGGAGATTTCCGGAGAGCAAGACATTAATTTGTCTTGCCGAGATTTCCTGGACAGCACCCAGGAAATTCAGAAACTGGGAGAAAACTGTGTGAGAGGGTTTGGGTGGAGGTGGCTTGGGCTGAAGGGATTGGGGAAAAGAGTTTTTGGATGCGTAGCGTAGTGGAGTAGATGATTTAGAGTAGAGAGAGGGAAGGGGGCGACCTAGGGAGAGGGGGGAATTGTGTCTACATTCATTGAGAGGAAAGATGTCCACATTCAATGAAAGGGGATTTTGGCATTAATTCTAATTGGAACTTAAATTTGAGATTTAATCTCATATTTAAGGTGATTGGGTTTATTTCCTAAAGGGATTAGGCTTAAATAAGAAGCCTTTAAAATTCAAATTATTTTGAATCAGGATTCAAAGTCTTTCCTAAAACACAAAGGCCAATTATGAAAGGGGATTAATGTGGAGGGAAAGAGAAATAGAAAGCGGGGGGCCGGCGGCATCATGATGGGGTTGGGGGGATTTTGGGAAAGGAATTTAAAACTTGCTCAATTGAGAATCCCAAATTAAGAAAGAGGAATTAGTTCAAATCCCATCCAAAATTAATTTGGATTTGATTTAGGAACTTTCCTAAAATAAAACTTTGTATTTTAGGAAACAAATTCAAATTAATTTGAATATAAATTAAATGGGTGACCAAAATATAAAGACCAAATTAGGAAGGGCTTTGATTGCATGCCTTGATGGGGGGAATTCAAGGGGGCAGCGGCTAGGGTTGGATGGGAGCCGCCGGTTGGGTGTAGGGATGGTGGGTTTGGCCAAAAGGGAAAGGAGGGAGATTGGGGCGGCTGGTGGTGAGGTTGTTGGAGGTGGACGAGGGTTTTGGGAGCAAAACCTTGGTTGTACGGTGGAAGGGAGGGGAAGTGAAGAGGAAGAGAAGATAGGGAAGAAAATAACCATGAACCCGGACGCTTCCATGGTTGGTGGATGATCTGTTTACCCCTCCTAGGGATTTTCTCTCCAAAGACTCTCAAGCTCTCACAAGAACTCAATTTGCAGGAATTTGATTATAATTCATTCATTAACCTCAAAAGAAACATATGGGGTTTATATATAGCGTCCTATAATGAAAGGAAATAAAAGACGATATTGCCCTTAGGGCATACATATGACAAAACCCTTAAGGACAAAACGGGAAATGCTACTAAAAAAAATACATAAAGCAAATAAAAAATCAAATACATATAAAGACTCAAAAATAGATCGACACGATCATGACCATCGATCATCGGCCACATCTCTGAAAGGCTTTTCATGATCTAATGTCCACATCAGAAAGTTAATATGCTAACATGGAGAAAATACTGAGAGGGTTGAAAAGTAATATGGAGCATCAAGAGGCCATTGTTTTGAAGATGCCCTAGTCAGGGAAATTATAATTGAAATTGCCATGTCAAAACAATACTGGAATTATGAAAACAACAAAGTGCACACATATATAGATTTGTTGAGATTGTTGATGGGTAAAGATCTAAATGTTAGGCATTATCTCAAATTAAACAAAATAGATTTATTTACATGATGGATCATTAACTCCTAACTTGTTCCTTGTATGCAATTGTTCATCCAATGCTAATACATATAGAGCTAATGAGGGGTACTTCAGGCAATTTGGGAAAAAAATGAAGCAACCACATTTTTTTAGGAGAAAGGAAAGTAACCTAAGCACAATGAGCAGCAAGTTAGTCCATGCCCTCTTATGAAGGATAAAGCTGCTTTGTCATTGTACATGAGTTCAGGTTAAATTGGAAAATAATCAAATAAGGTTGAAAAAAAAATTAAATGCATTGACCAATCTTGTTAATAGTTTTTTAAATAGGGAGGAGCAAGATTGAGAATGAAGAGAATAATGTCGTGCTTACTACTAACCCAATCATTCATTTTTTTAACTAACCCAATCATTCATTGTGTTGCTGTTGGGGATGAACTACAGGAGCAGAAGATAGAACAAAGGTGCATGAGGTGTATGACATAGGGGACCAATCCAGCAAGAACAATAAGTCGAGAAGGAAGAGGATGGCACCCCATCTCTTGCAATTATACAAAAAGGATGATGTACAGTTAGTAGGAATTAAAAGGACTCCGGAAAAAAATAAGTATTTAATAGAAAATTACACATATGCATTACATAATAGGCACAAACTCATGAATCCATGTACCATTGATCACCTCCGCCAGATTGATGATAAACATATATCCTCCAACTAAATACATAGATATCAAGATTAGCTGATAACTACAACGAGGAGATAAAAGTAGGTGCTACTTTCCAGCAGTTGAATATTCCAACATGATTATACAGTAAGGTGAAAAATATTTTACTTCATTGAAATATGAGAAATTAGACGTTTTTACACTAACTTCAATTGATATTCTTGTAGCATATTGATGTTTTATGTTACCTAAAATAGGAGCGCATCTAGCATTGCAAAAAAACCTATGGATCAGGCATATAGTTGTCTTGGACGAGCCATTTGATCAATATTGTAGTTTAGCAACCCTTACTTTCATCAAGCTCAAGAAAAAAAGGCTCTTAAGGTGTTTGACAAGGCCATTGTGTACACCATTTGAGAGAAGTTTCTAAAGTAAAGGGATAATGAAAAAATTATATATTTTCCAATGAACTGAAACAAAATTCATTGGATGATGTGATCCCACTTTTTGCGAAGTCCATGACATTGTCTGATTCTAACCCCGATTGAACCTTCAACACAAACCTTACAGGCAACCATGAGTTTGTTCTGTATGTGCTTCCGAAGGTTTCTTGAGCAATCTGGGTTATTTGACAATATATATGAATATTACTTCTTTAAATCTTCTTGGAAGTGGAGGAAAACTATCACAGATGACGACCCCAAAGTGAGGTAATCTATATGAAATTATAAGAAAATTGAAGTAACATAAGTTGTTCTTAAACATATAGTCAAATGATTGCTTTAAATCGTATTTACTTCAACAACTATAGAGTGCATGCAAAACGCTACATCGTAATCCTGATTTAAAAGAAAATCTCCTAGAAGATATATCTAATCGCATGCAACTCTATAGACAATTCATAATTATGTAGATCCATATGTCTATTTATTATTCTAATATAAACATTATTTCTTAGTGTACATTTGTCCTTCCTATTAATCAAGCTTACATTACTTTTGAATTTGCATCTATTGTGTATGAAAGATATTTACAACCCTAAAATTGCATAATTAAATGGCACTCGTTGTTATGTTTAATGAGTTATCTATTAAAAAATTAAAATACAATCTGCTATGTTATGAATGTTATATTATATCACTTATAATTTGTTGTTGTGATTGCATTTATTCTACTGTATCAACCATGTAAACTGTTGTGTTATAATCAATCTTCAAATCTTGTTTGAATCGAGGCGAACCAATATGGCAATTGCTCAAATTTTGTTTGATTCTTGTTCGAACTATACTCAAACCTCACTAGAGCATTATTATAAAGACAATATTCAAATAAGATTAAAATCACAGGTCTGCATGTGGTCGATTTGACTGATTCGGTTTGAAAATTAAATTAACCATTTGTTTTTTTTTTTTTAATTAACCATTTGATTTGTATTATAAAAATAAGAAAATCGAATCTAACAAATTATTTTCCAAACCAAACAAAACTTCAGTTGGTTAGTTCAACTTCGTTTCAAATGAACCAAATTTTAAATAATTTTAATACAACAACAACATCAAGCATTTATCCCACAACATGGGGAAAGAAAGGAAAGCAAAGAGAACAAAGTGAGAACGATCGTTCGACCATTAGATGGCTTGAATAAATATTAACTTAAATTTTAATTTAAGTTAATTTCTTAAAAACTTTATTTATTTATAAGGAAATCCCAAGCATTTCACATGGCTTCATCACTCCATGTGAATTCTTACAATAAATATAAATATCTTGAACTTAAATAACATGTATTAAGAAAATTTTCAAATAGTATTTGCCAAAATTCATAAACTTGGCATTTATAATAAATAATATTCATATTAATTTAGAAGCGCAAAAAAGATAAGTCAGTGAAAAAGTACATTACCAGCTAAACATGAGTATGAAATGCGAGCAACAGTTAGAGGAAAGAGCATGATGTCCAACTGTTGATGCGGAATATCAATGATCGAATGGTTCCATACTTATGTATGGCCACAATATTTATCACTTATTTGTTTACAGTCCATGACTTTTATTAATGAAATATTTAAAAATATGCATGTAATTCAGTTTTTTATTTGACCAGTATTATAAAAGCAAAAATGGAACCAATACCTAAAGTTCAAAAAAGTCAAAATTACAACCAATAGCCAAACCAATACTTAACAACAGAGCCAAACCAACCAAATAAGATTGGTTCAGCTTTTTTTTTTCATAAAAAAAGATTCATGCCTCTAGTTTAAACATGAATTCAAAACATTGCTAGAATATAGCCCGACTCTAGTTCAAACTAATGTTGGTCACGGCAAATTTTAAATAAGCACTTCGCAGTCAAAAGTGGGGTAATTTTGCCCAAAATGAACTTTCAGATATATTTCGTCAACTAAACAAATAGCAAGCATATTTCACTATCATTTTTGCTATTACAAGCATGAAAGATCAATTTTCCGAATGCCAATAGATGTAAATGCTCCAAAGTGAATTTTTAGTAACCAAAAAGTGCAGTACTAAGTACCTAATTTTCCCTAAGGCCCTTTTAGAAGTATCCCAAAAATATTTAGCATGGGAAAGGGTGAATTTACCTCAAAAATCAGTTTTCCTTTGCCAAGCATAGTTGAACAGCCTCTGCCATTGTCAGAATGAAAACTAAAAAGGCCCATAAAACCACGCTCAGGAAACTCCTCTACCCTGAGCCAACATGAAAAAGAAAACCCCTTATTGCATGGCCACTGGAGAGGTGTATTTATAGAGATCCCCTGCACATTATAAATGATGTATTGTACAGTAAAATCTTGATTTAACAAAAGGCAAAGGAAGTCATTGAGCAAGAAAATAAGCATTCACCTATTAAGAAAACTAAGAATGAATTTTGAGAAGAATGATATGTGCCATCTTGCTCTGACATTTAATTTGAAAATATCTTCCAAATTCAAAATTTTTATAGAACATTAGTCAAATAAGATGAGGCGTATCACATCACTACTTCAGTTAATTTACAAGAATGACATATCTGCTACAAAATAATTAAGCATTTAAGTATGAAACATCCAGACTAAAAGTTTAATCATAATAATGGTGCAAGTACAACTGCATTACCAGACCACGTAGCATGCATGCTGGTTCAAATAAAAGTTCTAAACGGAAGTTATAAAATGAGCAACAATTTCAACCTCTTTTAAGATTTACTTTCATGCTGCTCTCATATCGAAGGCCCTCTAATGGTCTAAATAATGTTCTGAATAAGTACGCTAAGTGTTCCCTAGAAAAAACATTAACTCTCTTGACAGTATGTTTTCATAACAATCAAACAACACATGATGCATTAAAAACAGTATCCCTTGTTCTGCTATGCAAAAATGCATAAAAAAGTGTGACATGAATATTTACAAGGTTTGATAATGATTTTTTTTTTTAATATATTCAGTTTCGGTCAGGTTTGATAATGATGTTAAATGCTCATGTAAGATGATGATTATGATTCATATAACATAAAGCAAACTCCAAATAAATCAAGATTCAGAAAGCCATAACATATCATCATCATCACCAAATATTTAGGGTTCATTTTAAGCCCTACCACCAAATCTACTTATGCAAAATCTATTTCTAGACTTCACAAAAACCTTTGCAACAGTCTTCTAAATAATAAATAGAACTAGCCATCTTATTGATGGGGGCAGTGAAGTACCCTAAAGAATTATGAAAATGGTTTAGGGCTCTACAATCCCTAAATAATACTTAGGTTCTTTTTGATATAAAAATCATAAAAACCCCATTTAATATTCGCAAGTATGTGTGCCCAATAAAATAATATAGTGATAGAGTATAGTATCGATCCCACGAGGAAGAATGTTTATTTGCAAATACTAGTACTCTCAACTTCAACTACAACAATTATCCTGCTCAATTGAAATAAGTTTTGGTGGAAATTCAATCACTTAATTTTAAATTAAAAATAATTAATTGAAACACTATTTGAATAAATAATTTTGGATTGATGGAATGTAAATACAATATATTTTCTAATGATTCTCTGTTATATTAATGTTATTCATAGCATATGCAACAAAGACCGCTCAGTCAAACGTGAAGAGACAAATGACAGATTAAACTCTTCAAACCTCAATATCTATCTAAACTCCCAAAGTCTGTCACCCTATGAAAATCTTAGAACAATAAGTAAAACATGTACTGTTAAAACCCTATCATGACAATTCATCTCTATAAATTTGATACATGACAAGCAGTATGTCTATGCTTGCATCATACCAATCCAACATACTTGCTTGTGCTTGCTTTCCTATTCCTAGGCTCCACATTACACCTGATATTAACTACCAGTCAAAAGTTGGGGAATCGACCTTAATGTTTTTCAACAGAGGTATATCGAGGTCATTGTTAAGGTCGTAACTGTACTGGGGAGCACGATAAGGGGCACGGGGGTGGCCCTCATCCGATATAGTGTCATTCTCATACATGGAAGGAGGCTTAGAAGGTGTGTAAGATGTGGGGTGATTCCTGACTCGATCTAGTGTATCAAATCGTTTCGTCATTTGGTGACGGAGTTCAGCTATGTCAGCTTGATTTTCCCTAAGTTGTTGATTGATATTTGATAGTGTTCATTTGTCCTACCAAAAGGTCTAAGGTTCTGTGAATTTGTTCATGATACATCTTATATCTAAGGGTGACTGAGAATTATGCAAACAGGAAGAAAATAATATGATAACACAAGCACTTAATTTTGATGCATGCGGGATACGATTTAGATGCTAATACATGGAATAAATAAATCCTAATAGGAACCTAAATGTAACCATGCTTTGATATCAAATGATGTAGGACTACATGCACATGTTATGTTATTAAATTTGAAATTATACGCTCATGATAAGAACAATAACAATTAATCAACCTCCCACGTATTAAAACAAAATTGAAGCCAACAAGATAGTGATTAAGCTCATCTAAAACCCAAAAAATGACGATCATAGGTCGTCGCACGCATTTCGATGACTTAAGTGAAAAATTCAAAGTTAACGAAATTTGACGGAAATAATTTTATAAAATTCTACGCAAAATTCTGAACGATTTAATAAATAGAACTTATAGGTAATTTTATGTATTTTGGGAAATAAAAATTCTAGAAGTTTAGAAATACCAATTTTACCCCTAACCTTTTATTATGCCGGAATTGTTTAAATGAGTGTATATGAGTCTTTTGGCAATCTTTTTTCTCCCTACTATAGCAAACCGAAAACCCTTTCTCCCCCATTTGCACGGTTCGAATGGGAGAAATTGAGAGGGGCGGACGGCTAGGGGCGACAGGCGGGTGACGGGCTCATCTCTGGCGGCGATTTTCTGGCAAGGAAATTAGTGGAAATCGAAGAGAACGACGAGGGGAGTCTTAAGGTATGATTTATTCGAAGCGAATACTTCTCAATCTCAAGTTATTTGGAGACGAAGTTTTTAGGGTTTTACAAAAATTTTGTTTTCTTTCAAAACTTCTCTACGAAATCGATATGTAAGGATTAGGAAAATATTCTAACAATGAAAATGAGGTTTCTTTGAGAATTTTTGGAAATCAAAATTTAGGGCTTTTACCCAAAAATTGAATTTCCTTAAGAAGCTTTTACAAAAACAATTCATATGGATCTTAGGAATGTTTTTAAAGAAAAATTTTATGTTTTTATAAGAAATTTTATTTTTCCTAATTTCCTAATTAATTTAATCCGAAAATAATTAAGATAATTATTAAAATATGTTTAGGGATATTTTCAACATATTATTTTGATGAAATTGAAGATTTAGGATTTTCCGAAAATTTAGGATTTTAATAAATCCGAAAATTAAGGTTAAATAATATGAATTTTATTAATCATTGTAAGGAATAATTAAGGATAAATGAAGTATTTAGACAATTAGGATTTAGATTAAACCTTAATGAAGAATGATTTGCGACATATCTTTTTATGTGATTATTTAGATTGTGATTTTTAAGGTGAACGAGGTGTGTCAAAGCAACAATTTGAGGAAATATTGTGCTTGTGTGAAGGTAGGTATTCATATTATTTGTAAAAATTTCATATTTATGCTTTGATAGTTGGAATTTTCAAGTATATGGTTTCCAAATTTTATTTCTGGCAAATAACTTGTTCAAGTCTTTTATTTCACAATGTTAGTGAACTTTCATATTAAGTTTAGATTCAAGATTTTCATATTTTAAACGGATAATTTTTAATTCACAATTGTTCTCCTTACGCATATGATTGATTGAACATAAAATGTAAATTATAATATGAGAACGTGCATGATGATGCAGAGTGTCCAAATGGTAAAGGGGCTTGAAAAAGTCAAATGGTAAAGGGGTTTGAAAGAGCTAAATGGTAAAGAAGACTCGTTAGAGTTAATGGTAAAGGAATGACCAAATGATATGAAAGTGTGTACCTGATCAGTACAGAATTTATGGGTGATATAATAGATATTATGCATAATATGGTTTATATATTTTCTACAAAATATGAAAGTTGATGTTTGAGAAAAAATAATAAGTGAAAGGTGTATGATTGAGGAAAGTTTATGAAAATGTTTCTTATAAGTAATGTTATGAACTTATGCAAGTTTGACCGTCATTTAATATTTTATTATGAAAAGATACTTTATTTTGGTTTTATGAAATTTTTTATGAAAAATACGAATTATTTGCTGAGCGAGTAAGCTCACCTCTGCTTGTGGGAATCTTTTTCAGGAGAACCATCTGGAAAGTAATGGTAACAATACGAAAATATACCTACCGTCGTAGAGGACCTCAAGAAGAAAGGTTTTATGTTTTCTATTATGAGTTTGAGCTAGTGGTTTATATCTGAGAAGTCTATTAAAATTTATGTAAATGTTGATGTTTATGTTTTTAGTTATTGTGGTGAGAAGAAACAAATTGGAAAAACTTTTAGTTGATATTTTTAGTGGCTTTTTCTTATTATTGTGTTGAAGATGTTCATGTTCTATTATAAAAGAATGAATAAAATTGTTTATGGTATATTTATGTTTTCCGTACGATTGACTATTCCCGCCCCGTTATTTCGGGCTAGCCGGGCCAGGTCGTGACAGCTTAGGCAATCAATTAGATGATAATATTAAGAGCACAAAATAATCAAATTAAATCAAACCCTGTTGATGTGGGGCTTTAAAAGAAAATTCCTCAATTAACAATTAGATTAGTCACTATAAGAATCCACTCACACAAGCTCATAATAAGGGCTAAGCGGAGAAGCCTTCATAATTTTAACGATGCCATGATTGAGGAGTTAAAGATTAAAGGTTTAGGAGAAGAGTTCACCATTCTCAAGCTTCTGGACTTTGCTCCAACATTCTCTAGGATCAAGCCGTTGATCGTCCTCAGATGCACTTTGAAGCAAACACACCTTGTAGTCGACAAGGGATTAAAGTGCCAGAACGGTTGTGGTGTGGCCGGTCAAGGGACGAGGATTTATTTCACCTTCTCAGGTGAAAACATCAAGCAAAGGAGAAGAAGTGTAGAGAAGCAGGTGGGGGTGTTTAAGGAAGGGGAGCAAACCGGAAACTTTGAATTTAATTACTGCAATTAAAAAAATTTGTAATTGATTTCTTGTCTAGGTGGCATGCAAATTAAGACAAGAATCAATTGGGGTGTAATATTAATTAATGGCTGCTTTAAGTGGAGGAGAGCTTGGGGGAGATTTGAATTTGAAAGTTCATAAATTAGGGGTATGGAGGGGGCGGCACACCCTAATGAGAGGTGAATTGATTGGGGAGCATTAATGGGAAAGTAACAATTACAGGAGAGAGGGATGCCGCGGCAAGGCTAGGGAGAGAGAATTAATGAGAGGGTAAAGTGTTGCTAAATTTAGGACACTAAATGAGGAAGGAAATTTAGGGCAACCTCTATTCAAATTAATGTTAACATGATTGGGGGAAACCTTCCTAACATAACTCTCCTCATTTAGGAAAGAAATTTCAAATCCAATTTACTTGAACCTGAAATTATTGACTTTCCAAATTTATAATGAGCCAAGTTTGGAATGTATTGAATGTTATATTTGAAATTTTAGGAGTCAAGGGGAAGGGGTGGTGGTCGGCTGCTAGGAAGGGAGGTGGAGCTGGCGGTTCAGTGGGTGTCGGACAAGAGTTAGAGGAGAGTGAGGCCAGCGGCTAGGAGGAGATGGGGTGGGGTTTTCGGCCAAGAGAGACAACAACAACAATATCAAGTATTTGTCCCACTACGTGGGGTGGGCAGTAGGCTACATGAATCCTTTTTCTCCATTGTGTCCTGATAAAAGTCAAATTCTCATTCAAATCTAATAAAGAAATGTCATTTCTAATATTTTATAATCAAGTCTTTTTAGGTCTACCTCTACCTTTCTTAACATAAGTCAAATTTAATACCTTAACTTCCTAACCGGGTCATCGGAAGGTCGCCATTTTATGTGACCAAAACAACTAAGGCGGCTCTCTCTAATCTTATCTTCCGCTAGAACTACTCCAACCTTTTCACATATATGTACATTTCATATCCTATCTCTAAGCGTAAAGCCACTCATCCACCTGAGCATCCTCATCTCTGCAACACTTAACTTAGTATTATGTTTCTCTTTTAATGGCTAATATTCGACACCATAAAGCATTGCAGGTCTCACCACCATCTTATAGAATTTTCCCTTAAGTTTGAGGGGGACTTTTCTATCACACAACATGCCCGATGCATTCATCCACTTCAAAAAGCATATGAGATTAGAATACAAAAAAAGTTATTTCTACACCGACAAAATGTTTAACTTTTTTATATACGACAAAACCTATTACTCTCATACATCTAAAAGACATTATGAAGATAATTTAAAAAGATGCAATTGAATTAGCTATGTACAAAAATCAAAGAGTTAGAAAAAAAAATCACCAATAAAAAACTATGGAAGAAATGAGAACTTCTAAGATTGATTGATGTGTGGTAAAAATAAGAACGATATAGTGAGAAAATAATACCAGAAGGATGGTGGGAAGCACCAATAAAATCGTGTAGTAAAAATGGACTTAAATAGTTTGGTCATGTAAAATAGAGGGCTCAAAAATGATTAGATAAAATAAATGTAGTGATTGAGAATTGCACAAGTAGGCTAACATAAAATAGACTTTAATCCACATACAACAAAATATACTTTAATCCACAAATAGCACATAATTGCAATGAATGAAGAATGAAATTCATAAAGCAGACCCCAAACGTGTTTAAAAATGTAAGTCAAAATCCCGCATATAAGTACCAATATATACTCAAAAAAGAAAAGCTAAAAGTTAGGAAGAGACTATCAAGTATGGATATGGAAAATAATTTTGGAAGTAACCATAGTGTGCTAGCATAAGATTAAATTAATATAAAAAAAAATCATATACCTAAATAAAAAAAACAAGACTAGTATATCAAGCGCATAAAATTAAAGTCCATCAGTAAATCACCGTGAAAGATGAAGGTAAGAATAAAAAGAAAATGATCATGCATGAAAAATATTATAGTGGAGTATATCATGTCCAATTTGCATCCCAATAAATCCATTTTTTAAGTCGTCAAACACCTTATTTTTCTCCATCAAAATACTTTGTAAATTTGAATATGTTAAAGACGATAATAAAGAAAAAAAAAAAGATCCAACTATGAAAGCACTAGTACATATAGAACATACAGAGTGATTTCCATTGAATTCAAAGAAGGCCTCAGGACCCCTTTCCTTGAGCATGAATAGAATACTTGTTAAAAGCAAAGAGCTTTTATTATGCTTAGATCCAATTGCTTTATTGCGTAGAAGAGCAAATATCCTCCTTATGTCCTTCCCAGATATGCTATGCCCACCAATGACTTGAATTAGCTGAGCAATTTTTGATATCAATTTGTCATTTTCTCCTACGGCAAACCAATCAAGAAGAAAAGTAAGCACCCCAGCCCTAAAGCATGAAGTTCTGTTGGTGATTGAATCCTTCAACAAATTCTGGAAGACATCTAGTCCAAAATACTGCAGTGAAATGCTGCTCTGCCACCCAGAACATATGAATGTTTAAAAACAAGGAGGCTCAAGAAAGAAAATACAATGAAAAATAGGACAAACAAACCTTTTGTAGGACATTAAAGAAAAGCAGAATCACATCATCATTCTGCAAACAAAATGAAATAATATATTCAAAGGAAACCATGATTGAGATAACACAGCTACTCTACATTCAATCAAAAGAGCAATTTTTCAGGCATCAAAAAGACAAAAAAAAACCTTTATTACTGCATTGGCGTTCATATCAAATTTCCCATCAACAAGCATATCAAGAAGAGCATTCAGAAGTCGTTCACTTGGTTGCCACTTGCAAAAATCAAGTAAGAGACTCTGCAAAGTTTGATAACCCACACCAACCAGCGCTCTAAATTCAGCCTGCATTTAAAAAGTGGATTAGCAAATGCAAAGGAAAAAATAAAATCTAGAAGAATGTACAGTTTAATACAATATTCTCTTTGAAAACAAGTAGCATATGAAAAATATTTTTTTGCAGATAAGTGCAATAAATATTCATGAACTTATAAATGAAAGGTGTCACTGCATGTAAAAACAGGAAAGTAATCAGCTGATTATGTCATGTCAACAAAATCCAAACATGTGCACGATTTGCATGAGATGAAGTTGCCTAAAGAATATGGGGCCAAGATGTACACGCTAATGGAAAACTTACTCTTTCAAACATAATATTATATGTGCGGAAGGCCAAAAAGTATAAAAAATGTGTAAATTACATCTACACAAAAGCATAATTATTAATTGCCTTTTCTCAATGAGTTCAATTATTATCAATTTGTTGGCTCAAGAAAAACAGCACGAATGCATGAATCCCGCTTTGCAACTGTATGATTCAATTTCTCTCAAGTCAGATTATAAGTAACCAGATTTCCCCTAAGGGTGGTGTCAAGGATTTAATTAGATATGGGGTTTTTACTTCCCATGAGCTCAAGCACTCATAGTTAATTACCCCTCTTAACACGTAAGTGAGAACTCTCAATTAAGGATGAATATTTTTTAGGTGTTTTAGTCTCAATTATGGGGAAAATGGAGGTAAACCCGACCAAGATCCCATGGTTTCGTCATCCCGGGTACACCATAGTTTTCATTCTACCAACATTAACAATCATTGACCGTAGTATCCAAAGAATTTGATTATCAGCCATGGGTTGCGTCCTCGTAGGGATCCCGAGTAGACTAAAGTGAGTAGAGGTGGGTTTTCATTTTATCAGGTGTTTTGGGGTTTGTTTTGATTAAAAAAAAATATATTTTTGAAAATGTATTAATTTTCTTTGGGAATATTAAATTTTTAAATTAAACACGTCATTATGAACAATGTATCACCTCAGGAGGTGATCGTATCGTTCTCTAATGGGTTTAAATTTTAGAATTTTAAATTCATCCGAATTATCGTAGTCAAACTCAAGGAGAAATAGCATATGACCTCGAAAGATCAAAATGACGTTCAATCAATTGTTTAATTATAATAATTCGGATAAGAGATTGTTAATTTTATAATCAAAATAACGATAATAAAATAATATATCTTCCCGAAGAAAGATGATATTACCTATTATCGATTATTTTAATATGACGATAACGATTGTCATTTTTGTTTGAATTCCCAAAGATAATTAATTGAAGGTTTTTAAAAAATTGATTTTTGAAAATTAGATCTGGGTTTCTAAATCTCCTACGAGCGCAAGCCCTCGTAGTTAATTACATCGTAGGAAATCGGAATTTTCTACGAAAACTCTCGATTAAAATAGGGGTATAAAATTTTATTTAAGATTTTTAAATATTGATATCAAAGGAAGAAAAGGGTAGGAATTTCAAGAGGGATTGGATCAAGGCTGAACAGTTATTTTTGGAGTCAAAGGAAGAAGGGTAGGGAGTGTTTTGAGATTCTGAATTACTTCAGAAAACACTCCAGCCTATCCTAAGTGTTGGGCTCAAATTAAATTGAAAGAGATATTTAATTTTGAATGGTCAATTTTATTAGAAAATTATGATTCAATTCCCGGAGGGTAAGGTCTTATAGCTCGAGCTAGCCTCAGAACCTAAATCTAAATTGGGCACTAAAAGTTGACCCGAACCTAGCTAATGCAATGCGAATCTGGTCTGTCTATACCCGGCTGGATTGGAGGGAGCCACTAAACACCCTTAAACGATTTTAAAATTATGAGTCCGGTCAATTTATGTAGAGTGATCGGGACGTTATTTAAGAATGGGACCGACATCTAGAGCGGATCCTAAATGGTCCCTTAAACTTATGTTGGGTTTGATGCTTAAGCAAATGCAATTAAGGGTTTAAAGGTTTTTTTAATTAGTTGCTAATATGATGCATACTAATCGACCTCGATTAAAAGATTGAATTTGAATGAATGCTATGAAATGAGGACTCCGGCGGTCCTGGGATTATTTCTTAAAACGTTAGAGTTTCTATGTGAGCTTAAAGTTTTTAATTTGATTTAAGTAGAAAAATTTTATTAAAGTCCTTAAGAGCCTACGATCGAACTCCAGGTCAAATCAAAATCGGCATGCAGGTAAAAAGACTATAAAACAGGTAGTTCTACTGCACAATCATTAATAAATCAATCAAATTAAAATGCTCAAATTGAAAAATCCATATGGCAAGTGCCACTTTTATTACATTCCAGAATTGCAGAAAAGTAAAGTGGTCGAGCACCACTGACTACAACCCGGATTTCTAATCCTAAGACTCAAGTGATTTGAGAAATGGGGTTTCTTCTCGTTATCCCACTTCTTCGTCCTTATGCTGCTTCTTGGATTGTCGGGTCCGAATATCCAAATGAAAAGAAACTCCCCCCTTGAATGGGGTGTTAATCTCTTCTCTTTGGATATTTTAACATCCTAATTTGGAGCTCCAAATGGATAGGGACTCTTCCCTGAGGGACATCCCCTTCCTCTTTGGATTCAAATTGGATGTTTATCCCATCTCAAATCACTTGAAATTACAACATAATCAATCAAATTTACATTTGAATTTTAAAGGAAAAATCTAGACTCGGATCCTGCAGGTTATTCCATAATAATCAAACAGTTGTAATTTACAGTCCCAAGGCAGTTTAATTTTCCAATCTCAAGTAGTTAAATATTCGAAATTTCAAATGTTCAATCAATTACAACATAAAATGAAATAAATCAATAAACATCACACATCAATCCTAGGCTAGCAAACAGCAATGGCAGTGAAAACTCGAAAGCCCGGCACCAGCGGAAAGAAGTAAACACCGGCCTATCCTAAACTATGAGTCGGTGATCCTAGCAAACCATCTAAAAGTGTGTGAAATAGGTCGTGTGGTGAATGTCCTAAAATAGGCATTATCCTCCGCATCTGAAATTGCTTAAGGTTCTGAATCTACATGATTTTTAAGGATTTAAATTAATTTAAGGTTTGGCCATTATATTGATTTATTGGCGTATGTGCCACGCAGCGCTCGAGCGAACAGCCTCCTAGGACACTTAGCCCGCAGCCGGAGACTAGTCCAGCGCAGATAAACGCAAATATGCAATTGAATAAAGATTTTAAAAGGTTAAATAATTAATGATTAATCTATTTTAAGTTTAACACCCCATTAGAATCCATTCGTGGCGTTGTGCCACCCGGCTCGAGGACCAGCCTCTTAGGAACACTTAGCCCCGCCGAGCCGCGAGTAGTCAGTCAATAAACTTATCTTAGGATGGTTGTTTGTTGGTTTTAAATGTTTGTTGAATGTTTTAAACATTAATCTAACATTTCCTGGAGTTTCAAATGCAATTTTGGAGTTTTATGATTTTTGGATATTTTAATCATTAATTAAGTGGCTAGAAAATTGACTTTTTTATTAAAGGTGTTTTCTGTAAAGTTAATATTTTTATTATACTAGACCTCATTACAATCAGTTAGACAGTAAGTACTTTGAAATCGGATTTTTCTACATTTTATTATGAAGGTTTGAGGTTTTGAAGTTTTGAACTAGATTTTAATACGGTTTGACCAATTTGTTGACTTTTAAATCTGATAGTTTTCTGGAACTTTTAATATTTTTAATAAATATTAGACATTATGTGAGTTGAATGCAAGTGAGTTTGACTGATTTGAATTTTTCTGGAATTAGTTATGAAGGTTCAAGTTTATGTTTTTATTTGTTGAATTTTTGAAAAATCCTTAATTAAAGACCCTTTTTGTAATTTTGTTTCAATGAGATCCGACTCCTTGAAATCAGCTCCAAAGGTCAGGAATGACCTAAGGAGAGATTCTCAAGTGTTTGGAAATTTTAGAATTTTAATAATTATTAAATAATTATATTAATTAAATATTGATTTTCAATTAAAATTAAATTAAGGCTTAGTTTGCTGTCAAATAATTTTGATTTTAATTTTCATTGGTTAAGGTTTTAATTATGGTCAGTTAGAGGTCTTGTGTATAATTTTTGGGTTTAAATATGATTTATTAGATTTTTTGGAAGTTTTAATGGCTTAAATTAGGGTTTAATCTTAATTAAGTAAGTTAAGGGGTTTAATGAACTCAAAATTCAGTAGGGATTTTCCTATGAACTAAGGGTGTCACTAAGTTAAAGTGTGTAAAGTTTTGAGTTGAAAGGAAGTGTATCCTAATTTCTAAACTTAATCTAAGTTTTCTAATTAAATGTCCTTAATTTTTGTCCTTAATGACGCTAGGTTTAGTGGGTTCAAATCAATTGTTTTAACTAACCCTTGACTAACATTAATATGCACATACACAAAAAGCACATCAAGCCCTTTAAAACTAGGAGATCCTAGACTAGGTGGTGTGTGCACAACCTAAGCATGCAAAATAGAATAATTAACATAAACATTAATAGATTAGTGGATAATTAAAATATTACCCATTAATCCTCCCCATAATTTCTGTTCACAATAAGCTTAACCTATGTTTAAAATTTAAATGGACCTCTCAAAATTAGATATTTAAATATATAATTTTAAAATATTTTTAAAATATATGTATTTATAGTATAGCTTATACATAAAGACATAAATTTTAAATATAATAATTTAAAATATTATTAAAAATAATTTTTAAGGATTTGAGAGAGATCTCTGCTTATCTAAAATAATTTGAAAATAAAATTTTGGAATATTTGGATTTATTTTAATTAAATAATAATTAAAATAACCAAATAGTTAATATTTAAAATTATTTAAAATATATAGAATATTTTAAATCAATTTTATTTTTAAATTAAAGGCTTGAGAAACTGAGCAGTTTCATATATAATACTTAATTTTTTTGAAAAATATTTAATTTTTAATATTTTTTTGAAATGTTTCTGGTAATTAAAATGATTCAAAAGCACTAATTAAACCTTAATTAATTCAGATCTGGGGCGGGATTA